TCTAACATTTCTCCTCTTGAGCTCATTATAAGCCCAAGATTGCAGTCCATCCAAGAAATAAAATAGTTTGTATTTCTCTTGCATGTCCGGTAACTCTAGCTCAAGCTTGTGAACTCGACTATGTAGTCTCGGATAAATCCACTATGCTTTAGCCCCCAAAGTTTCTTCATCGCTATGTCTTCAGCATTATGTGGGCAGAATTGTCTCTTATGTTGCCTCTTGAACTCTTCCCAAGTGTTTATGGTGTATAAGCCCTTTTCAATGTCTCCGTGCTTCCTTCTCCACCATAGAGCTGCACTTTCACATAGGTAAAGGACTGCCGTATCGACCTTCGTCTTGTCTTCCTTTACTTTACTAGCATTGAAGTAACATTCCATCGACCAAAAGAATTCGTCAAGTTCTTTAGGGTCGCGTTTTTCTCCATACTTCATTGGTTTGGGTGCGTCCGTGTGTGGAAACTTACTCGCAAGTTTACTTCGGCTTCCAGCATAGCTACCTTCTCATGGAACTCATTTCGCAAGGTGTTGATAAGTCCAAGGACTTCTTCCTTGATGACACCGATGGTCTCCTTCAATCCATCGTTCGTGTCACTTATCCCTGCAATGAACTGATCGACAGTATCCTTCCACTCAAGGATCTCACCGACGCTAATCTCCACCTTTGTAAGCTTGTTTTCTAAACTTGCCAAAGGGTCAACGGATTGGTCCCTCCTCTTGGACTTCCTTCCTTTCTCTTCGACGACAGGGGGAATGTTAGCTACATCACTTCCTCCTTCCATTGCTACGATCTCTTGCTCGTACGAACTCTGGCTCTGATACCACGTGTCACAGGATGACTCTTTTAGACTAGTCAATACCGTGTTCCACTTAGTGCTTCTTCGACTAAGTGAGGCTTGGAACGCTTCGTTACGATGTACTAACGACTAGGATAGCAAGAGATGCGATAAGGAATGCTACGGAGTAAGAAATAAAGCTTCTATATAAGACTCGACTACTTTACAAGGCAACTTCCCAATGATTCCTACAAATGAGACATCCTTCCTATTTATAGGCACCTTACACCTCCTCAAATGGAAGTTTCTTGGTCCCGATCATTCTTGACTAATCTAGACTCTTCCTATTATATACATGGCATTTACAAGACTCTAGAAAATGGTATGCTTGTCTACGATGCTCTAGAAGTTTCTAGGTTGTCGCGACATTATCCAAATTGCTCTTGTATGATCTAACGTGTTGTAGATCATTCCAAAGTCTTCCGGGTCGTTCTAGCTTCGTCTAGCGCTCTCTTGATTATTCCGGATCGTTCTCCTTTGTTCCAAGGACATCTATAATATTCTAGCATCTTCCAGGGTCTCGTAGAACTTTCTTGATCTCTCCGGAGACTTCTCAAGTATACTTGATCGTTCTGGAGTTCTCTAGATGATCGTGGAATTTCCAGAAACTTAGTCCGTGACAGGATGGTCTAATAGCAAACATCCAAACGTCTACAAATCGAAAAGAAAATAAAAACTATTCGAACAATTTACGATAAAACTTTGAAGATTATTTAACATTACTTTTGAAGGGGACAATCGTCGATACTGCTCCCAATATGAGGCCGCCTCTATGGGATGTATGATTTTCTACTTGACTATACAATATTATAACAAAGGATATAATATATTTTATTAATGTACACGTGTCTAGCCAATGGACATCTTTTTGGAAATAATGAGGAAATGAAAATGGTTACGTGTCATTGTTTGTTTGGTAACTCTAGAAGGGTGGTTTGATCATGTTGCTTCCTAACATTTTTTTTTTTAAATTGAAAATGATATACGAATAAAGATGCTATGATCCAAGGATAGAAATTAAAGAAAGCCTTCAACTCTGACTCATAGCGGTTGCTGCCACGGGAGTGGGATGAGTTGGCGGCGCTTTTTTACTCACCAACCTCCCATGACCTTGAAAAGACCTCAATGTTTAATTATTTCGTCCATTCATTAAAAGTTAAAACAAGTCAAAACCACCAACTCCGACTTGCACTATTTTTAGTCTTTTTATTCTCCTATAAAATACAAAACTAATTATACATGCACTCCATCAACATTGGTTAAAATCTTGACATTAGTATTTTAAGATAAATTAAATATCTTTTTATTTATTATTTTTATTAATGTGAAATGGTGACAAGTATCATATTTGGAAAAGATTAATAATATTTTAATATATTTGTCATCATTTCAAATGGATATAAATATATATAGAAAGAAAAATAAAAAAATATTTAATTTCTCGTATTTTAAATGTTATCAAGCAGTATGTTACATTGTAATTATCTCGCCTCAAAATTTCACAATGTCTTCTACAAAAGAGATTTAAAAATAAATAAACATTTTCTTTAGATTATTTACATATATTGTTTTCACCTATAAATTAGTAATTGTTACAAAAGATATGATGGTTTTAATTTTTGATTGATAAGGACATGGTGTGTGGTGCGTGAATGACTTTGTTGTGTTGAAGTCGGGGGCGGACACAAGATTTCATAGTAGGGGTGTCATGGAAAATTTAAGTAGTGTAAAGATAGTAGAAAAAAACAATCGAAATTTTTTATACTGGGTCCGGAAAAGTCAGACCTTGTCGGTGCCACTATGGGCACCATAGTAAGACCGCCCGTGACTGTGGTACCATGCGTATGAACCATTTGAAGTTGGTATCCACAATACATGACAAATGGAATGAACGTAATAACATAGATATAAATTATGATTTTTGCGCTGATTTGGTGGAACATGTTTACAGATGTCAGCTACCGGTTCTCGACGAGGAACCGAAAGAGGCTTTTGGATGGTACCAAGCTAACACGTACCTAATTGGTACCGAAACCGATATTTGCTCAAACCTAGAACCGATATATGCATTTATTGTACTTGTTCTGAGTATTTTGTTCGTACCCGCAACACTCGATGTTAATCTTGATGACGATTCTGACAAATAAAAAGAAGAGTGTGTTGCAAAACAAAAGAAAATAAGAACCAAAAAGTAGGCAAATGGTTTGTTGGAAACTTTCTAAGTTGTTTGGATAGAAGAGAACCGGAGTGGAAACCAAGAATGATAAATGCAAGTTTTGGTAAAACATTCTTAAAGTCGAACCGAGATGACGATCAAGAGAGTGTAAAAAAGCACAAGGAGTGTCACATGACCCACCTAAATTAAACTTTTTTTATAGCAAATTATATTTAAGAATTAATAATGACCTATCTTAAATTTCATGAACGATTTGTTTCACAATAAAAACTGAATATAAATCAAAGACTTTTAAGGCCCACTTTTTATATTTTAGTAGCCCAAATACTTAATTAACTTAAAATTTTACTAATTACGATATAATCCAATAAGATTAATACAAGATAAAGAAAAAAACAAACCATGAATCATTTATATGTCTTTGTTCTCAACATTAGGCACACACGTAGATGCATAATGCAAGGGGCAAATCTTTTTTAAATATGTTTTTGTTTATATGACTTGACCCACTATCAATATGTTTCGACTATTTTATTTCTATAAATTACACTTAAATAATGAACCATAGTTATGTTCTAAACTTGCCTATGGTAACGCGCGACACCTCTAGTTTAACAAAAAAAAAAAGTCTCAAACTAGCGAACTACAAAAAGAAATCCATAAAACATGAAAAAACAAGCACCTCGTAATTTAAGAAATAACTAGGGAGGGTAGTGTCACAATCTAAAAGCATGATAACCATAGAATTGAAAGGAGTTTACTAAACATTTTTGTTGTAAGCGAACTACCTTTTAAATATGTAGAAAACATTTCTGTTGTAAGCGAACTTGTAGAAAAACGAACGAAGTATTTATAAGTATACAAAATATACTTAATGGGAGAGTTATTTTGCTATCTAGGCATAGGCATAGAATATTATAATATAAGAAAGAAACAAATCGATCTTACTTGAGAACATTAAAGTTAGTGATAGAGACGTTGGGGTATGAGAAATGGGATTAAGTGAGTAACATGATGATTGATAAACGATGGGGTGTTTTAGAAAAAGGCCTACACAGACAGCCATTTTTCAGCCCAAATAAGGAGCCGACTATGGGCCCAGGATATTAGACATTATCCGTCAAGTGCCCAGTAAAAGCTGGCCCTCAACGGTGATGCGTTCTGATTTTTCTTAATATCCGAGTCGACGTTTGAATCACCCAGTTCTGTGTTAATTTTGGCTTCTTCTTCTTCTTCTTCTAGGTCCGTATCATCGTCAAGGTCCATCCTCAGGGTGTGTGTTCATTCACTGATGATTTGCAAAAAGATGGACTCCATTTATCCCCAGCAATCTTCAACGACCCAAATTGGGAAGAAGCAGATGTTTCTCCGAGTAACATTCAAATTTTTATTTATGAGATTGCTAATTTTTTTGTTAATAAACAGCACCTGCCAAAGGATATGTTAATTTGCTATATCACGAAGGGTATTCATTCTCATTCAAACGGGATGAGTTATGAGTATTCTCCTCACTTTTTGTGCAATTAGTGAGAAGAATGGTGTAGGGATCCCGGATCCAAAAAACTAATTATCCATAAATTTTTATCCTTTTGACATTTTTACCCATACAAACCATTGACTCCAAGTGTTGATTTTTCTTTCGTTCGCAGCAAAAGTCTGATCAATTTCAACGAAAACATAAATTGCAATAAGAATTGTGAACAAATCTTTTATTTGAAACTATTAGAGGTAGGTGGCATAATAAAGGACCCAAGAAGGTTCCATAGCAAGTTACACTACATTTTGAGTCAAAAGGTTTAATTTTGGTAACATTCTAAAACATGACTTATATGATATATCCAAACAGTTTGGAAGCTTTCATGTAGACTTATAGTTATACATACACACACAAACAAAAGTATGCCTTAGATATAAGTATCATCATATCATGTCCCCAGGCTTATCGATATGGTTGTGGATTCATTCCAACAGTATCCACATGTGGTCTAGGAATCAACCGACGGTTACACGTGGTCTAGGAATCAACCGACGGCTACCGGTACCAATACCAATACCAGTACCAATACCACTACCACGAGTACAAGTACCAATACCACTGCCACTACCACTACCACTACCACCAGTACTGGTATTAGTACCCGTACCCGTACCAGTACCAAATCCAGTACCAAATCCAGAACCAGAGACCCTATCATTGAAGCAGCCATCATCCTCAACATTATTAGAATACGAATTCCCCAAGTCTTGAGACGTTTTTACCTTACTAGGAACAGAGGAAACATGCGGTGAAGGTTTCACAGTGGGTTCATTATCATTAATGGTTGACAGCGAAGGATTGTGAACATCGTTTCTCTTTGATCTACCAAATATGGCTTCGTGCATCTTCTCACAGCAACTCTTAGCAGGGCGTTCATTTGACTGATGATTGTATGCCATTCAGTTCAAGAGCTAGCTAGCTAGTAGTAGTGTGATAGATGGAATATGGATATAATTGAGAGATTAATGTATGTGTATTTAAAGGGACATTGTTCGACTACTAAAACCTACTTTTTTTCATTCACATTGGAAATATAAAACGGGTAATCACTGGGGAAGGTGGGTTTCTTTTATTGTTGAAACTTGAGAGAAATTCTACTCACATTTACAGATGTTTTGGGTGACGTTACAAGGCTGACGATGTATCCTTACTTGTAACAAATGATTTAATCCATTAGAAAGCACATTCTGTACACACAAGGTGAAGGTGGTGGGGTGGGGTCGTTATTTTAGGGTATCTTCTAATTTGTTCATATTCGTATGCGTTTTTGTTTCATTTATTCCGGTTTTTTCCCATTTGGGATATAATATATTAATCTAATAGATAAAGAGGGCCACTAGTAGGTAGAATTAAGCAAATTAATAGTAATTTTAAAATCGGTTCATATTTGTGTGTGTCTGTGTTTTTTTCTTTCACGATATGATTTGGGTTGCAAGAAAAATGGTTTTTTTTTTAATTATGTTACAATAAATTTAGGATATTATTGTCTAAGGAGAAGGGAGTCTTTCCCTCCCAAACCATTCAACTCAATTCTACATCAACACTACCAATGGTACCTCCCCCCTCAACCCACCAACGGTACCTCCCCCCTCAAAACACAATTAACCACCAATGGTTCATCAACCCACCAATGGTACCTCCCCCCTTCAAAACACATGATACCCACCTCCCTTAGGGGTGTCAACTTATGACAAGACACGATAAAAATACATGACACGAAACGAAATCAAAATTTAAATTTGTGTTCGTATCGTGTTCGTGTCAAGTTTAAAAAAAACGATGACGTGTCGTGTTCGTGTTCACAAATCAACATGAAATTGACACGACTGAGCATGTGTTTGCCATGTTTTTGTCATGTTATATATGATTAAGTATGAATTAAATAAACTAATAGTTATGTAATGTTATCTTTTTCGTGTCGTGTTATCTTGTTTTAATTAGTTCGTTTTCGTGTTAGTGAAAAAAATGCGGCATCGTGTCGTGTCGTGTTCGTGTTATACAAAACATTGTCGTTTCGTGTCTTGTCGGACAAAAACATGACATGACTGTCCAATTTGACATCCTTATTATTGTCTTAGTATATACGGAGTATGATTTAGTTTAGAAAAATAATTTTAAAAACGGTGGTGTGAAACTATATTCTTTGTCTGAGGACTATTTATTGTCTTCTTATTTAAAAAAAAAAATCATTATTAGTTCGACAAGTTTCTCAAAAGGTAGTAAATCATCATTATGCAGCGGTGAATGTATTTCCAACTTCAATTTCTTTTTTGAGCTTAAGTTTCTTGGCAAAGACAAATAATAAAAATTAAAAATATATGCCCCTTTAGCAGCGGACCTACCCACAACACCACAAAGGTAGTGTGTACTTCCCCTTCAATCGTGACTCCTTACCATGTGGTGACTGCTTGCATTCCCTCTCATCCTACTCAAACTTTGTCTCATCCCATGACTATTATATCTCATCATGACATTTCCAAACCCACCCACAAAAATCTCCTTTAGATTCTGAGTCGTTAGTACCACGTAGTTATTTATAGGGTTTCTGAGATCCTATCTAGCTAAACACAATGAAAACATAATATAAATCCCTCAAGGCTAATGATACATGTTTTCTTGTTCCTAAACCCAACGATGCAAATTTATAAATTGCATCAGGTTATTTAAGAAGAAGAATAACGTTGATGGTTCTCTAGCTTGGTACAAGGAGCAACTTGTGGTAAATGATCGTAGCCAATAACCCGACATTTACTACAAGGAGATATTTAGTCCAATGATCAAACTTGCCAACATTCAAACTGTTCCGTCTAGTTGTCTCTCGGCATGTTCGACAAGTTGATGTGAAGAATGCATTTCTTTACGGGCATCTTCAAAAGCAGTGGCGGGGTCGGAGTCAAAGTAAATGGGAGAACATAAAAAAAATCCATGTGATATTCAATAAGAAACAAAACACAATTCTCTAGTGCTTACTTTTTAGTCTTGATATTCTCTAGTGCTTACTTTTCCACACTACAAATCGAAGCACCATTCATAAAATCGTCACATATTCCATTACGTAAATCGATTTTCAACAACTTCATTGGTAGTAACGTCGTGTTTTTTTACCATATATATATATTTTTCTTTTTAAAACAATCTTTAATAGAATAGGTTAGCAGAAGACTTAGTTATTACAAAACATTTTCAAATCATCACGTTACCTCAAAATCAATTCATAATTTCAATACATTTAAAACATAGCAAAAGTAAATGTTTAACTTGATAAAACATCTAACGTGTTCAAAATGGTATCATCTAATTAGAATAACTACCCCAAAAGCAACATCTCTCACTAAGGCCAAACTCGTAAGCTGTCTGCAATCATAAGGAACAAAAGAGAAAATACATAAGTTTCAGCCCCAACTGAATGAGATCATAAATGTTACATATAAAATACGCAAACCCCAAACGGGTCAATAACTCATTTTACGATGAAGCATCAAAATGGGAAACAAATACCACTTAGCAAACAATCGTATATCATATAATCATTTAATAGTGTGTTCAAACACATACATGCCTAAATGTTTAACCATAATTCTACCACATAACTTATATGATCAACCGTATACCATATAAACAACCACATTTCATTAGTTATTCAACATTTGTTTAAATAACCAACATTTTGTTATATATCAAACCTTTTATTATATACAACCTTTTTACTATATATCAAACCTTGAATTATATAACCAAACTTTTATTATATATTTAACCAACCATGACCATCAACTTTATTCAACCGATTATTACATATAATTCAATCCAACCATTTATTATACGTAATTCCTTTCAAGCGATCATTATATACAATTTCAATTCAATCGGTTATTGTATATAATCACCTTTCAACTGATTATCTACTTTGGGGTTTCTTAGTGACAATCTACCCAACAACTTAATCTTGTTCACTACTCGTGTGCTCAGCCAGTTTAGTGCTCTAAGTGACTCATGACTTCCACTCAAATTCACCAACCCCAAGACTTTCACTTTCAATTTCACTACTCCGACTTTGCAAAGTATAAGTACTTCGCTGTGTCGTTCAAGGTCGGTACAGATGGTGCCAATTCTACCAATACACCTCTTGATTCCCACATGATGCTTGATCCGACCACACCATAAAGCCAACACCACTCTAACTCTCATACACCGGGTGCACGCGAACCACGTGTCACACGGTCATCTAGAAAGACCATGCAACTCGCAACCGATACGGCGTAAGCTTTTTCAACCAATTTGACTTGCAAGGTTCTACCCATGACACCATTATACCCCACAAAAACAACCATACATCAACATAGACATGTTACTCATACAACCTTAACGAGCAATGAATCATGTAATAAAACTCATCATATTATCACCATATTATAGCATAAGTATACCAAATTATTACAAATTTAATTAAAAATGAGCATGCTAAATGATTAACCAATTTAAGCAATACAACATGTAACAAAATGAAATACCATCACTCAAGCATAACCATACACAATGTACAAACAATAGGATTTACCAAACAAGCATTAGCAATTCTAGCATGATCCTAATTTGCATTAATAATACACTTAGGAGATGTAGTTTTCGGTTATGCACTAAAGTTAAGAAAATTATCTACCCACACCAACAAAAAAACTACTTTGTCATGTGCATCAAATTCATCATAGTGAAAGCATCATAGGAAATAATAACTCATAAAATGGTAATAGCACAAATCATACGGTAGCATCACAAATATCATATCATCGTCATGCACAAGTAATGTCTATGTCACTGTAATGCGAATCAAATCACCATTTACGGATTTGCATGTTTCAATTATGCACCTTAGTGAGTTTAGACTATAAACTCACCTTTATCCTTGATGAGACTCTCCTTCTACTCCAAGTCTTGAACTCACTTGATGTTCTCAATCCTTCACCTAAAAATCACACATAACAAGAAATTAACAAATAAAGTGCATTTATTTTTCAAAAATACAACTTTAATACAAACACTTATATAGTATTTTTTTATTTTTACAATTCCCCCACCCGACCCCCGTTTAGTGTTTTTCCGATTGAGCTTTTTGAAAAATATACTCGATTTCCTACAACTTTTTACTTATGGTTATTTTCTCAAAATCGACTCAGAATGGCCTCTACAACCCTTGCAAGACAGATTAACTAATTTGTCCATCTTTGCAAGTTTTTACCAACATTACCATAAACTTCAAGATTAAGGGAAAGGACTTAGAATTATTCCATTTAGCACTAAACTAATCTTGATTAAAGATAATAAGACATACTTTGAATGTTAATGAAAATACCAAAGAGTTGGTTAATGGATGATTGAAAGTAGGATGTCATTACACACCAAACACAAAATTCTACATTCACCAATAAAGATTTCTTTAAGTTCCAAATCAAAACACATGAACGGATGGAACTTGAGTAGACTTTTGGACATGATTTAAATGACTTTAAAGGTTATTATTTCAGCTTCTATAACATGTATCAAGGGAAAAATCGCAAGAAGAAACAACAAACATCACATGACCTTTGTAGCTAGATGTTGGGTACATCTTTTAGCGTGCATTACCACCACTTAACATAGCATATAATAAGGCTTTTAAGAATGGTTTCAGAACCTTTAGGTAGGTTCAAATCATATCCTCTTAATGCATAAAAATTACACACAATAAACCACATGAATTGAAGTAAAAGAAGACAAGATTTTGACACCAAAGCAAAGCAATTTGACTCTAAGATTGTAACCAATTCTTGAGTACAAATTCCAACACATGTGGGAGTGTTTAAAAAAGAGTTTTGACATAAATAATCAACCAAGAACCCATCAAAATAGGGATGGAAATCGG